TATATTATTACATAAATACCTTTATATAATTTTTTACAAATTGTTGAATAACTGTAGCATTTATGTCTGTTTTTCCATATATATAAATATCTTTCACTTGAGGAAGACTATGAAAATGTGAAATAATTGTTAATGGAACTGTTGTTGAAATCACTAAAAGTAATTTTTCTTCGTTGATTTTATTAATAGTATTCATTTCACCTATGCGTTCAATATATTGTTCACATACTTCAACTTGATCAAATATGCGAACATCATTAATCACATTTTTAAGTCTTATTTGAGTATCAATATGTTCTGGTTGTTCATTTATTTCTGTATCAAGCCAGACAAGTGTTAAGTTCTCCATCTTTAATGATATAATATCATTTGAAAAGCTTCGATGAACTAATATTGGTAAAGATGCATCTTCTTTTCTCAATATTTCACTAGCTATTGATTCATTTGAATTTGATGAGAACGCTGATAATGTTGCATCTGCAACTTGTATTGAATTATCATGATCAACAATATATTTACTACTTTTTGATCCCATTCTATTCGAGAAAACTATCGATAATGTCTTCAAGTATTTGGTATTTGTTCTACGCTGTTTTTTATTATTTTTGTCAATTTTATGTTCTCATTTTTATTGATACAAGCCATAAAGATATGTGGTGAAGTCAGATTTTGATTTATGTTTATGATCGGATGAGAAAAAAAAAGATTCATGTGACATTCATTTTTCTTTATTGAAGAATATAATCAAATACTTGTTACAAATATAGTTTTTTCTTGGAAGGATTCGTTAATTTACTAATAATGAATGGTTATACTAAAGCAATTGCTAACAATGAATTAAGTGCAAATGTATCAAGTAAATGTTATTCACTATAGGAATTCTTAAACTTTATAACAAAGATTAAAACGATTAAGAATATCTCTACTCGAGTTAGACCCAGACTATGATTAAAAAAATATATTTTTTACATCACCAGATTATCTATTATATCTTGATCTTAAAATTCATCTAAAACGCCTGTCTGTCAATTTCCACGACAGATAATTCTTTTCTTCATATGCGATCTATGAATACACATTCAATGTTGATCTATTTAAAACAGAAAGTTCGATACACAACTACAGAGGATGAAATAATTGTTACTATGACAGCAGATTATCAACGAACCCATGAAAAGTGACACAACTAATGTTTGGATGATCAATACTTGATCTGCATTGATTTGCTCCATGAAAACTACTTGTAAATACAACTCGCTTTATTCATATTCTGAAAAGTATCATGAAAGAGAATTGTATAGATTAAGAAAGCTTTTTGTAAAGAAATTTAGATTACTGAATGTACTATAATTTGTGATATTGCGCAAATCACGTAGCAAGTACAAAATTAATAAAAAGTAATCATTTGAAAAAGATAAAATTTGTTGTTCATTTTTTATTTGACACTATTTGGATCAATACCAAGTTTCTTAGTTCTTGCTTGTACTGCCTCAGTTATCGATTTAGTCACAGGAATGAAAAGTACAGATATGATCTCAATATCTGCTGGATTTGTCAAACGCCATTCGATTGCATTAATATCATCACCTGGATGAGCAACATAGTTCGGTACAATACTTTTGAAACTATTAAATGTGCCATCTTTGACGCTGCATTCTAACAAACATATGAGACGTTCATCATTATA